GCTAGATATCAACATGGACTAGGCTGGAAAACCGTTTCTCTGTACTTTTTTCTCGCCATTTTATAATTTGTCTGCAAGGCTGGGCCTTTTTTTTTTGGTTACTTCTCTATTTTTCTGTGAATTGTACCTGGAAAAGCTGCACCCAGGGAATTTTGTACCTAAGATGGTGCCAGATGTGGTGACATACACTTTTCATTGTATGTGACATGAAATCTAATTGTAATTCTAATTAATTCTCGTCTCACCCTTGTTGATATCCCAGTGGTGGGCAGGAGCTTCCCTAGGCACACTAAGTGATCTCTAGCATGTTTCATTGCAGGCTTTTGGTTGGGCCCACATTCTAGGGAGCAGGTATAGGATAAGTAGGCTCATGAACAAATTAATAAAAGCCAATTCCCTCCTGCCCTTGCATTGATTTGATTCATTTATTGTTGTCTCATGAACCGAAAACTTTTGTTCAGCATGCCATTCAGGCAGATTGTACCATTCAAAGTGCAGGGTAACAGAACAAGAGTGCAGAGTACAGTATTACAGCTGCAGAGAAGGTGCAGAGAGAGAGAGATCAGAATTAACGTTAGAGAGGGGAAGAAGATGCTGTTGAATCTATTTATATGTGTATAAAAACTTCTGCCCAACAGAAGAGGGTGTAAGAGAGTATAACCGGGGTGGGAGTGGTATTTGATTATGTTGGTCGCTTTCCCAAGGCAGCGGGAAGTATCCAGGTGCACAACTGCCTCTGACCTTCCATCTCTGCTCCAATTGTCCTCGCCCGCCATTACATATCTGCAGGAATAAAAAGTACTCCTGCCAAATTTGCAGATGGTACTAAAATGGATAGGTAAGCGAGTTGCAATGAAGAAGTAAGAAATTTACAGATGGATGTAAACAGGTTAAATGAATGAGCCAAACTTAGGTAAATGAAGCTTAATGTGGATAAGAGATAGTAGGAACTGCAGATGCTGGAGAATCTGAGATAACAAGGTGTAGAGCTTTCTGAAGAAGGGTCTAGGCCGGAAATGTCAGCCTTCCTGCTCCTCTGATGCTGCTTGGCCTGCTGTGTTCATCCAGCTCTACACCTTGTTATCTCTTAATGTGGATAAGTGAGGTTATCCATTTTGGTCAGAGGAACACAAAATAAACCTATAAATAGAGACAAACTCCAGAGTGCTTCAGTGCAGAGGGATTGGGTGTTCTCATGCATCAATCACAGAAAACTAGTCTTCAGGTACAGCAGGTAATAAGGAAGGCAAATGGAATTTTGGTATTCATTTCTAAAGGCATACTGTCTAAACATAGGGAAGTATTGCTGCAATTGTACAGGGCATTTGTGAGAGCACATCTGGAGTACTGCATTTAATTTTTGTTCCCATACCTGAGGAGGAATGTAGTGTGGAGCTGGAGGAAAACAGCAGGCCAGGCAGCATCAGTGGAGTAGGAAAGCTGACACTTCGGATTGGGACCCATCCTGCTCCTCTGATGGTGCCTGGACTGCTGTGTTCCTCCAGCTGTGTTATCTCTGACTCCAGCATTGGCAGTTCTTACTATCTCTGAGGAGGAATGTAGTTGCTTTAGAGGCAGTTCAGAGGAGATTCACTAGATTGATTCCAGAGATGAGAGTTTTATCTTATGAAGAGAGATTCAGCACTTTACTCTCTGGTGGTTAGAAGAATGAGAGGAGATCTAATTTGGTAATATGAGGTGCTAAAGTGGATTGAAAAAGTAAATGTAAAGACCATGTTTCCTCTTATGAGGCAATCTAGAGTGAGCGATCGTAGTTTTAAGATGAGCGGTAGCAGATTTTAAACAGAGAAGAGGAGACATTATTTCTCTTAAAGAGTAGGGAATCTATGTAATTAACTACCCCAGAGTGCAGTGGATGACAGAACATTGGGTAGATTTAAGGAGGGGATAGACAGATTTTTAATTAGTAACATGTTGAAGGGTTATGGAGAGCAGGCAGGAAATTGGAGTTGAAGCTGAGATGAGATCAGTTATGATTGTATTAAATGAAGGAGCAGGTTTGAAGGGCTGAATGACCTACTCCTGCTCTTAGTTCACTTGTTCTTATGTTCAATGGAGTTCACTATTCTTGGAAGGCATCAACCCAGCAAAGATCTTGAAGATAACAGACAAGGCCCTTGCTCAAATCAAGCAATTTATCCAACAAGATGCCAATCTTCAAGTGTTGCAAGAAGCAACGATAAGAAGATGGTCCTAAAGTGTAAAGGGCACATCTGTTGCTTTAGTAGCATTTTGGGCTTAGGGGTCTAGGGTCTAGGCCCGAAACGTCAGCTTTCCTGCTCCTCTGATGCTGCTTGGCCTGCTGTGTTCATCCAGCCCAACACCTCGTTATCTCAGCTTTACTCCGCTGTTTGTTTTCTTCTTCCTCTGAGGACAATGTCACAAACCACAAGACAGAAGCTCAGTTTCAGAGCAGAAGAGATTTCTTATTATTTTCTGAATGTCATCATTCTCTACTAAAGATTATTTTTTACCTCCATTTGCAATCAAGCAACACCAGTAACAATTCAAAGTAACTGAGCTGAAGGTCGTCAGAGGCTATTGTCATCACAGCATAGTTATGATCTAGCCGTTTCAGGAAAAAAACGGTTTTAAAGGCTGCTTTGTTTACGTAAAGGTAATGTTAATATGACTGTAACTAGACACAAGAAGTTAAAAGTTACAACTCATCTGATTGCAAGTTCCAAATAGATTAGAGAGAGACATGTCAAAGGTAAAGGACCGTAAGGCTGCTCTCTGATTAGAGGGAGATGACTGGGAGCCAGTTTAACCTGACCGTCACTATGCCTTTGGCAAGAGGCAAGTATAAGAAAACAGGACACTCATGATAATCTCAGCTCATGCAGGAATTAAACATGACACTGTTGGTGTCACTCTACTTTGCAAACCAGCTGTCCAGCCAATTGAGCTACACAGGAGCTTGCAAACAGTCAGTGTGGCTGTGAGAATGTGAGATTTGGCAAGAAGAGAAAGAACTTTAAATAAACTCAGTGCAATTGATTCCCAAAGAATAACATGCCACCATTTTGAGCTTTGATCTGCATAAGTGTCTAACACAACTTTAAAACAGACCTTTCCCAGAAGGTAATATCTTCAGAGAAGAGAGTTCTCAGTCTAAGAGAAAACTTTGCTTCAGAAATCAGTCACAGTTAAACCAAAAAAAGTCCAGGCAATCTGAAAGGGCTATAGCCACATAAATGGTGAGGAATTAGAAACCTTCTCTAGCTGTCTCTCTATTTCTATCTCTCTCTCTATAATTCTCTCTGTCTCTCTCTCAATGCTCCTACTTCCTGAATCTACTGTTACAAGAAAACACCAGCTGCTTAACTCCGGAAGTCTTCGTAGCTGGTGAATCTGACTTCATGTAATAATCATTTCAATTCAATAACCAAGGATTCAAGCAATATGAATAGGAAGGGTTTAAAGGAGTTTAAGTCAAATGCTGGCAAATGGGACTTGATTAATTTAGGATTTCTGGATAGCATGGACTGAAGGGTCTATTTCTGTGCTGTGCATCTCCATGACTCTATGATCCCAACTAGAAACCACAAAGACCTAACGGGAACTTTTACTTACAGTATTCTTTTGTTTTGACATTAATCTGGGTATTGGTAATTTCTTTTAGTTTATCTCTTTACTTTCAAGGAACCTTCAGCAATAGCTTGTAACAAAGTAATCTTTAAAGGGTTGAAATTGAAATCATGTCCACTCATCTATCTTACTGGAATCATTACAGATAAAAAGTTGGCTAACAAAGTTGTGTCATCTATTTTCAGTGCACCGACCCATGTTGATGACTGAGGCACTTCAATCAACAATCACAGCAGAATAAGATTGGTATAATCAGCAGGATCATTCCAAGAAAATGGTAACAACACATTTAAACTGAACTGGACTAGCCAGATAAATGCTGTGTCGTGTAAAACAGAAGCAGGCCAAAAGCAAAGTAGCTCGTCTTTCATTTCTGCAAAGCCTGTGCAGCAATTAGAAAGAAAAATCAGGAATACTCCCCAATTCCCTGCATCAGCACAAATTGCAACGACTTTCAAAAAGCTCAGAATGAGCTAAGTCAAAGCACGCAGCTTGCTTGACCTTCCATCCACCACACCTTAAGAATTCAGTCTGACCACCAATTGTGCACAGTGCCAGGAGTGTACAGTGCCAGCAGTGTACACCACACAACAACAGTGTTGCAGCAAACTTCTCAACAACATTCAATAACACCTTTCAAACCCACCAATGTCTTGGAGGGACACGAGCAGCAGATACATGGGAAAGCCAACTCCTGCAAGTTCCCCTCCAAGTCGCTCATGGTCCTGACTTGGAAATGCATTGCCATTCCTTCAGTGGGTGTTACACTACAAGGATTGCAGCTGTTCAAAGAGGCAGCTCACCTCTTAGAAATAACCCTTACTGCTGGCCTTGCCAAAGATATTCATCTCCCTAGAACAAACAAAAAAAAGCACTACCGTGCTCAAGCGTAAACAATTAACAGAGTTCAATATTAATTTGTTACGAGAGATAATCAGAATTAATGGCCAGGCAGTTTGCTTTCTTTTAGGATGAGGGCAGAAGAGGCAAGGTGAAGCATTTTCCCATCTTTAGTTATAATTGAGATATCTTCTTTGCCCACTGCATTCCAATAGATGCTGTAGTAAGTCCTGTTAGTGAGAAGATTTAGACTCAGTTCCAATAAAAAAAGACTAGTATAATTCCAAGAATGTGACACAGAATGGGACTCATTTTAACTTGGAAAATTTGTATTCCCATGCATTTGCTGCACCAAATCCTTTAGTGTAGATGAAATCTGGCTGATAAGAAATTTGTTCAGTGGCTCTTTGCATGCAGTAACCCTGGCTTCAGGGATTACAGTAAATGACATTTACAGGAAGTGTTGCTTATTAAAGGGTGACCTCAGCAGCTACAGCATGATCAACAGGGACTTCCCTCTTAAATAGAAGCTTTCGCACCGTGCTGCATATGAAAGCGCATACACTTGGAGGTGAAGCCACTTGTACTATCTAAGAGCTCCTGACCGTTCCTGTTACCAGTCTCGGAAAGAAAAGGGGACAGTTCTCTCTCTGGCTCAAACCCTTCTCTTCCCATGTTAACGGTGAGACCTTGATTAGTTATTTCAATTGACACAGTATAAGCTTGCCAAAGAAAAAGCTTTCAGTAAATGTTGTTTTATTGATTTAGCTTACATTTACATGAATTTAACTTTTGTAGTAAATCTGCAACAATTTAATTCTAAAGTTATTTTTTCACTTTCTCTCGGCATTCAGTTAAAGGTGAAGAAACAGTTTTGCTGGACTTTCAAAGATAAAATCATAAGAAATTGAAGCATTTGGCCGTTCAGTTCTGTTCCATTGTCTAATAACGTCATGGCCACCCTGCTCCCTGGCCTATATCTCTGTCTCTGGCTTGCTGCAGTGTTTCAGTGAAGCCCAACACAAGCTGGAGGAACAACACCTCATTTTCCACTTGGGGACCCTACAGCCCTCCGGACTCAATATTGAGTTCAATAATTTTAGGGCCTAAACGCTCCCATGTCCCAGCCCCCCACCTCACACAGCAGGCCTTGTTACCACATAGCCTGCCACTACACACCCCTGTTGTTAGTCACTAACAGTCCCCATTAACAACTATTCACCCTCCCAGCCTGATCGTTAGCAACTCCTTTGTCTGTCCAACTGTCTTTCTCTTTCTTCGGGCTCTATCCTATCGTTTACTCCCTACACCATCCACCTTCCTATTTTCTGCATATAAACTGACAATTTCCCAGCCACTATCAGTTCTGAGGAACGGTCACCGGACCCAAAACTTTAACTCTGTTTTCTCCTTCACAGATGCTGCCAGACCAGCTGAGTCTTTCCAGCAACTTTGTTTTTGTTCCTGATTTACAGCATCCGCAGTTCTTTTGGTTTTTATGGCCAACCTGATTGTGGCCTTATCTTCACTGTCCTGCCTGATCCACTATACCACCTCACTCCCATGTTATTCAAAGGTCTGATGAACTCAGCCTTAAATATATCCAATGGCTGAGTCTCCACTGCTCTGTGGGATAGAGAATTCCAAAGATTAGTGGGTTTCTGAGAAAAGGAATTATTCCTCATCCGTATCTTACACCTTATTCTTACATTATTGTCCTCTAATTAGAGGTTCCTCACAAAGCAATGTGTGATAACAAGTGGTCTGACCTCTTTGTGACTGCCTAGCGTCTAGCCAAGCATTGCTGTCAGGAAATGAGCTAGAATTGGGAACATAGCAGCAGGAGTGTGATATTCAGCCTGTCAATGGTTTGCAGGCCTCTGAGTAAATCATATCAGTCCGAAATGGCTTCATCCTTATTTTTGCATTGCGTCCCCTGGTTCTACTCCATTCAATCTAGCGAAACTCTTATCCTCATTCACCCTGTTCACCTATTTAACTATTTTGTAAGTTTTAATGTGATCATCTCTTACTCTTCGTAACTCTGGAGAATACATGTCCAGTTTGCCCAATTTTTCTTCACAGGACAGTCTCACCATTCTGAAAACAAACCAAGTGAAAGTTATCCCCTCTATGGCAATAATATTTTTTCTAAAATAAACCAAAGAACTACGAAATGCTGGAGCTCTGAAATAAAGAATAACAGAAGACTTAGCAGATCTGGCAGCATCTGTGGAAAAAGCATTTTGAGTCCAGTGGCTCTTCTGCAGGACATCGTACTACTTTAGAAATACTCTTCACATCTGTTCCTCTTATTAAATTGGGGAACTTCACATTCTTTAATATAATATCCCATCTGCCACGTACTTTCCTGTTCACTATCCAAACTCTCCTGAAGACATGTTGCATCTTCCCCACAGCATACTTTCCCAGCTAGTTTTGTCTCATCTGTGAACTTGAAAATATTACGTTTCTCCCCACATCCGAATCATTGATATGTACTGTATTCAGGGTGGGGCAAAGTGCGGATCCTGTGAGTTCCCCACCCGTCACAGCTTGACAATATGACAATGAACCAATTATTCCTGCTCTCTGATGTGGCACAGTGGCTCAGTGGTTAGCACTGACCAGGGACCTGAGTTTAATTCCAGCCTCAGGCTGTGTGGAGTTTGGACATCCTCCCCGTGTCTGCATGGATTTTCTCCAGTTTCCGCCCATAGTACAAAGATGTGCAGGCTAGGTGGATTAGCCGTGGGAAATGCAGGGTTACAGGGATGGGATAGGAGGTGGGACTTGATGGGCTGAATGGCCCGTTTCCACACTGTAGGGATCCAATGGATTCTGCTTCTTGCCTGTTACTCAATCCTTAATTCATGGTACTGCATGATCTCCCATTCCAAGTGCTTTAAATGTGTTAACCAACCTCCAGTGTTTTTTTTGTCAAAAGCTGCTTGATTTAAGGGATTCTCCAAATTTGTCTCCTCAAGTAGTGCTCTAGTGCCATCAAACAATATGGTATTTCTAAGGTATCGCGTTTTACACGATAACCAGCAAGTTGTACAGGTATCAGTTATGTAGAACCATCACAGCTAAGACTAAGACTACAACAAAAACAGAAATTGATGGAGAAACTCAGCACATCTGCCAGCGTCTGTAGAGAGAATGCAGAATTAATATTTCGAGTGTAGTGAGCCTTCTCTAGAACAATTAAAAATAATCCTGTTCATTGCTCATCAATTGCTGAGAAGTCAAACCAGTTCCTCTTTTCCATTCTGTGTCTTTTTTTGCTGCTCCAGTTCAATCCCCTCTGTGAATCAGAAAGGAATTGTCATGCGCAAGTATATTAGGGCAATCAATTTACAATGTTGATCCTGGAGTTCTAAAATAGGTAGCTCCAGAGATAGTGAATAAACCCCTTATAATTTCCCAAATGTTCTGAGATTCTGGAATAGTTTGCAGCATTTTGTCATTGAGCAACAGTAGCACAGCTATGCGAGAAGAGTAAGAGAGAGAGAAAATAGGGAATTACAGGCCAGTGGCCTGATGTCAGTCACCAAGAAAATATTGACATCTTTTATTGAGGAAGCCTTAAACAAAGCACTCAGAAAGTTAGAGTATGATCAAAGTCAGCATTTTTAATGCATTTGTGATGTGTACATATCACTGGTTCAGTCAGCATTTATTGTCCAGCCTTGATCAGGTGTTGGTGAGCTGTCCTCTTGAACCGCTGCAGTCTAGGTACAGCCAAATTGCTCGGGGTGGACTTTGCAACATTTTGGCTCAGTGACAGCAAAGTAGTGGTGATACATTTCCAAGTCAAGATGGTGAATAGCTTGGAGGGGAACTTGCAGGTGATGGTGGTGTTCCAATGTATCTGCTGCACTTGGCTTTCTAGATGGAATTTGCTTGGCTTTGGAAGATACTGTCTCAGGAGAGTTGTCGAATTTCTGCAGTATACTTTGTAGATGGTACACGTTGCTACTATTAAATGTCAATGGTGGAAGGAGTGAATATTTGTGGGTGCGCTGCCTTTCAACTCCAATGTTGTTGGAGCTCCACTCATCCAGGCAAGGGTAGAGTAACCCATCACACGCCTAACTTGTATCTTGTAGATTGTGAACAGGCTTCGGGGAATCAGGAGGTGAATTGCTTGCTGCAATTCTTTACCTCTGCCTTGCTCTTGTGGGCACTGTGTTTATATGGCCAGTCCAATACAGTTTCTGGTCAATGGTAACTCCCTGGATGCCGCACTTGATCAAGTGCAGCCTTGATGTCAAGGTCAGATACTCTCGCTTCACCTCTGGAGTTCAATTCTTTTACCTGTGTTTGAACCTAGACTCTATAAAGTCAGGGGTTGAATGGCCCTGGTGGAACCCAAACTGAAGACCAGCAAGTAGGTTATTGCTAAGCAAGAGTTGCTAGACAACACTGGTGATGATCTTGAGAGTGAAATGATAGGGCAGCAATTGGCTGGATTATCCTTTTTTAAGGCCAACGACAAATTGATTAAATTCTTTTTATGATAGTGTAATTAATTATGTAGTAAATGGGGGTTTGGAGTTTCGAGAAGATTCGATAATGTGCCACAATAAAAGGTTAGTGTACAAATCAAGCGCACATTAAAAAGGGGGTAAAGTATTAATAAATGAAGATTTGATTACTGTAGCAAAAGCATAGAATCATGATTAAGTTGGTAGGCTGTCACTAGTGAGAGCTACAAAATTAAAGGGAGCAAATGGAGCATTTTGTGTGGGGAAATGTGACATTATTCACTTTGGTACTAAGAACAAAAAAAGCAGAATATCTTATAAGATGCATGAAATTTCTAAATATTAATGCCCAGAGAGTTCTGAATGTACTCGTACAAGGAACACAGAATGTTAGAATGCAATTAAAGTAATAATTATGAAGGCAAATTAGATTTATTGCAAGGAGACTGGAGAGCAGAATAATGAAGTATTGCTACAAATTTACACTGCTTTGATTAGATCACTTGATTACAGGGTCCAATTTTGGTATTCATAGCTGAGGAAGGAGGTGAATAAGAAAATATTGACTAGTTTGGTTCCTGGGATGAGGAGACTATCCTATGATGAGAGGCGAAGTAAATTAGGCCGAGATCATCTGGAATTTGTATGAATTGATTGCATTGAAACTCAGATGATGCTAAAGTTGCTTGACATCCCTGACAGATTGTTCATCCTGGCTAGAGAATTCACAAAATGGGTACAGAATCTCAGGATAAGGGCTGATCAGTTAGGACTGAGATAAGGAGAAATTACTTATTTCAAAGGCTTGTGTACTCACCATCAGTGAGTATTCTTATGGCTGTGATAGACAGAGCTGTAGTCTGACAATTGGGGAGCAGGTGGGAAAGAGGAGTTGAAGTTGAAGGTTAGATATGATAGCATTGGATATAAAGAGCAAATTTGAAGGTGTGAAGGTCTTGTAGGACTGGAGACAATTGTATATATAAGATGAGGTCTCACGATGATAGATTCAAACATGTGGATAAGAGATTCCCATTTGAGAAATTTAGTGGACTAATAAACTGGAACTCAGGTCAATGAGAACAATGCAGTGATAAGGTGAGCATGCAGCACTTGAAACAGAGTAGGATATGGCAACAGAGTTTTGGATGAAGTTTATAATGAGTAAAAAATGGGAGGACAGCAGGCAGTC